TTCTCAAATCAGTCCAGGACTGGTAGACAAAGGTACCTGTGGCCTTGTATTCGGCACATACACTGGTACCTGATGGTTCAAAAGAAGCAGCAGCACAGAGTGTCCTTTACAGAATTACAACTTTAAAAGACTTCATTACTGTATCCAGAGTGCTCTCTTTATACCCAAGAGCCTGATAAAGGCTTTGGTCCCAATGCAATCCCACACCAAAGAACTCCACAAAAAAAACTTGATGCATGAATTTTCTTTCAGCAGTTTACCATGAACTGCCTTTCAGTTTAGCTAAGAATGAGAATAGCAGAAGAGAAGTGCTGGATTCACCTTCTCTAGTTCCTGTGCTGTTTTCTTTAAAAATAAATACTCCAATGTTTTCATCTTATTTCACTCTCTACAGGCAGGAGTTTGATTAGGAAATGCACAGGCACTCTCTTGGCCATAATTAAAGGGCATGTTATACAACAAATAGATGGCAATGCCACAACATAAATTCAATCCAGCCTGCATCATTTGTTCATAACTTCTATTCACAGAAATGAGACTACTACTTTCCTTCCACACCTCTGTCAGGCTCCCCATGGAAATTACTCTCTTCCACTCTCTTACAGAGTGCAAAACATACAACTTTGCTAATGAAAAATTGCTAGCAGAAGCAATGGGCGCATCTCACCCAACCAATCCATGGGATGTTCAGATCTGGAAACATAAACTTTCCTACCTAATAAGGGTGTGCTGATCTCCATCAGATTGATGCCAGGATGCCTTGGAGTGCAATCAATACAAAACAAATAAATAATTAATTGCTCCAAGTAATTAAGTTTATCAAATCCAAATAAAAATAACTGATATTTTATGGAACTGCTTCCAAAGCTGAACCTCTGAAGGGACAGTATTGATCACAGGAGGACAGACAGATGTTTCACACGGTCAGAGCCGATGAGCTCTGGGTTTGCATTAATGACAGGGAAGGAACAGAGCCAACAGCCTCCAATGCAGAGTAAACAGTCAGCGTGCTTGGCCATTTAACTGTGGGTCAGATCAAATATGGAGAATAAACATGTCTAAATACATACATACAACCCCATTTTCCTCTAGAAATATCATTCACCTTGGTGCTGCAGTAAGCACTCAGTTCCCATTCCAAGAAAGAAAAACACAGAAGAGAACTCACACACATGCATTCCCCCAACAACCACAGTAAATTCTTACTCATAAATCAGTGCTAAAAAATGCTCAGCAGGCTAGTAAATATTTAAAAGCTGGTGAGTGTGAATATTTGAATCAATGGGTACTAAAGCTGTACTTGTAATTTTCCTTCCTCTACTTTTTTAATTGGTCTGACTGGCAAATTGTCTACAAGATCCCAATTAGCTGATGGAATCAGGCTGCTGGCTGGAAGCCTTTTTTGAGGGGAGGTGGCCAGCTTGGAGTGACTAAACTGGAGCATCCCTCAGTCCATTCTGCAGACTGGGATCTCTACAAAATCCTTTTCACCCTAGAGTTTTGTTTTGTTTCCAGATGAGACATCACTCAATCGATTCTCTTCCATTCTTTTGTTTCCAAACCCATGACAAGAGAGCAAGGACACAAACATACACCTCAACATGCAGGAGTGGAGACAAACATCCACCCTTTTCCATCCATCATCTTCTTAAAAGCCCTGCTGCAGCAATCAACAGCTTTAACAGAATCATAACTTAAAATTTCCACATAAGACAGAGGGCAGATGAGCAACTTAAAATACACGGATGTTAAGTATGCCAAAGCCATCACAATGAAGTCAAAGACAAAGGTTAAACTTAAAAAGAAAGCTGAATATAGCAAGCTACAGAAACACCATGGTGAATTCAAAACAAACTCAGTTCTGCCCTACAAAAGCAACACCATGCCTAGATCACAAACGTGGTTATTGTTGGTTTGTCTGGGTCCTGGAAAAGATTCAAGTTCAGCACCTCCCATTTTCCTTTCCTTCAGGCAGATGCTCAGCAAAGCTTTCCTTCCTCATAGCTCTCTGCTTTCCCTTTAGTCTCTTCCTCTCCTTTCCCTGTACAAATTCCCTACCCATCTCTCATTTCCTCTGGCTTTTTGGCTGTCTGCCCTCCCAGCTGAGCAGATCTGGTATAACAGGAAGTTTTCCAGAAGTAACGCTTAGGATTAATAATACATTTCTGCTGTTATTTTCATAAGTTTTACTAACAGCAAAGGCAAAGGTCTACAATTCCTTTTGAAGAAACTCATGAAAGGCTTACCCCCTTCCTAAACATCTACTACTGTCTCCCGCTCTCCGCAGCACCAAGACAATGCACTGTCTTGAATTAAGACAGAGCTTTTCATAATTCCCAGCTTCTTACTGCCTTAGAGAAGCTTGCAGTCTGTGCTCTCAGGAGGCAGAGGGGAAATCCCATGCAGAGCAAGGGCACAGGGGCTGTGGCCTTCTTTGGCTATGGCCACAGTCCCATGGAGAACAATGGGAGACTGAAACCATTGTGATAGAAGGCAGCTTGTCAAACTGAACTCACTGGAGAAGATTACTCTTCAGCATCTGCTGAGGGAGAAACCTTCAGTTATGAAGAATAACAGCCCTAAATGGCCATTAATCCTGGAGGGCAGAGGGAAAGATCCTCAAATTCAGACTGTGCATAAGATTTTGTAAGCTTTAACAACAGGGAGAATTTGAAAAGCCTGTGCTATTGCCATAACAACTACTGGGAACAAATCAAGTTGAATACAGAATGCAGTTGAATACAGTCCTTTTCTTCAAGGACTCATTTCTAGAAATTAATTTGAACTCAAGTTTTAAGCCTAATTGTAAATCCTCCAAGGGAAAAAAAAACCTCTAATTGAAGAGTTAAGTGCAATTATCCTGGGGATGATATGGTACATTTTTCACACATGACAGAGGTTGAGTCCCTGATCTCGGTGCAAAATCCAACTTTGCCTAACTATGAAGGTGTAAAGCACAGTAGTAAAGTGCAAAATAAAGGAGGACAATAATAGCCTTTAGGTGAGGAACCCTTATGGTCCTCAGGCAAAAGAACTTACTGCAGGATGTCACAAGCCTTTAGAAATCATTTTCCAATGTGCTCAGGGCAAAACATCTTACGCTGGATGTTGCCAGAGTACAGGTTTCCAGCAGAGCACCCCAATTCCTTGCTTAGTCCTAGTCAGCTCCTGCCCTTATCAATTCCATACCACTGATGTGTAAAGGGTTTGACACGTAAATCCATCAGCAAAATAATTTGGATTAGGGTGGATTGCCAGCTGTACCACTTAGCACTTCAGCACCTCTTACCAATTCAAAAGGCCCATACTGACCTCATATGATTAATTCTCCCCGTCATCCACATGTGAAGAAAGTGAGTCTATTAGCTCCTGTTTTAAGAACAGGGAAGACTTGAATAAGGAAGCCAGGTGACTGGCTAAAACGACATATGAATTCATTTGCTGGGCTAGAGGCAGGTTTCACATTTCCAAGCTACAAAGTGTTGTTTTTTTCACCTGGATCAGTGATTTGCAATCTTTTTCAATTCGCAAACCACTGGTACTTCTATAACAGCATTTATATCCTTATAAATTTCAAGCAGAGCACAGAAAGTTGCTCTAGGTTATCCCAGGAGCTTAGATACCACAGCCTGAAAGCTGCTGAATCAGGATGCCATGCCTCAGCTTATCACTGCATTTTGTGGGCATTGAAGAGAACAGGGAGAAGCATGCAACACCCGTTTTCACAAACGGCTGGGATGTGAACTGCCTGTTTAGAAAACAAAAAGGCTGCTGGCTCTGCCAGATGGTTCCATCACTGATAGGTTATTGCTCAGCTTCTCTTCCAGAGGGGGTAAAAATACCAGAAAAGATCAACCATTACTTGTCAGTTTTCAAAATCCCAAATCAATCTCTATAAATTACTCTATTTATCTTAGTGCAGGAGAATGTATTTGCCATGTTTCCATAAATCTCAACACACGCACCGCAGTCTTTCGTGTCACTTGCCTCTGACTTCCTCAAGGCTGTAGCCCCTCTCAAACAGGTAGCCTGCAGATGGCGGCGCTCATACACTAAGGGGGTCCCCCAGGAGGAACCTTGCTGAGCCACATCTCTTCTAATGTGTGCATGCACCCGTATGGTGAAGCAGCATGATCCCAAACACATACCTAATAACAGCCCCAGGGCATTCCCAGCAAGATCTGAAACTATTCTGACATCAAAAGTACACCCCATAAAACAGTCTTTAAAAGCGACCTAGAAAATTACTATGCCAAGTGAGTGTGCTGGGCAAGGAACCTACTTCTCCACCTTTGCTACAATAAAGCAACTAAGGATTATTTTATTTGGCTAGGGAAATTAAAAAATAGCAAAAATAAACACCTGTACTGGGCAAACAGGATTTGGCTATCAAAACTCCTCTAAAAACATTCAGCCAGCCAGGCAGGTTTAACATACCCAGTATCCCAAACCCTGTCGCTAAGAGACAGGCATCTACATTTATCTTACTGATGGAACAACAAGAAAGTTATTTCTCAGGGATATCTGTGCAGCAGAATGAACAAAGGGGCTTTTTCCCAAAATATTTTCTGAAGATAATGGAAACAGGAAGGCAAAAATTGTGTTCATGTGTCTTCTTTTTTTCCAGACACAACCTGAACATCCAGTTCTTAAAAGCACCTCTCGCCTATTACGACACGTGCTCTAGGAGGCTTATTACATTTAGCTATGAGCTCTGTTTGGACTAGACAGCTCCATTTGGGTCTGTCACATATCTAATCACAGAGCAGGAACACCAGTAACAAACACCAGCAAGCTCAGGTGCCCCTTCAAGGCAATGAGCTGGCTTCCCCACAGCCTGCATTCCAGGTTTCTGAGCCTCCACATTTATGGAATTCCTTTCTTATTTTAGAGGCAAGAACTTGACTTTCTGTAGCTATAAAAGGAGAACAGATGAGGAGACAGACAGGCAGACTGAAAAACATTAACCAAGGTCCCAAGGGACCAGGACAACAGCCTACCCTCTGGCTTCGTAGTGTGACACCTGCAGATTTGAAGTCAGGAAACTTGATGCCAGCAGTCTCAGGAACAGCCTGAAAGAGATGGAAACAGGATGTGTTGATGGAGGAAACACATGATTTCATATAGACTATCAGAAGGGGAAACATTGTTTCCTATGACAGAGAAGCACCTGCCATGGCCACATGTCGGAGCTGAGGCAAGAGGAAAATCCCAAGCAATGGGATTCAGTGGGAAAATCCCAAGGAATTCACTGAGAAAAAGTACTCCAAGGTGTCTTTGGAAAGCTCAAGCATTTTCATTGGGTTGGTTTAAAGGCACTGCTCTACACAGACCTCAAACCCATCCCCACAAGCATAAACCATAAATGCTACTCTTTATAGTAAGTCATGCATATTTGCACAGTATCATCCTTATCTAACTCAGGCCCATGTCACTGATCAAAACAGCTCAGGACTTCCCCAAATCTTGCCTTTTGACTGAAAGTCGTCTAAGGAACGAGCTGAGAAACCTCTGATCTGTACAGACATGAGCCCACTAATGAGGGTGTAAGGACTGCATCTCTCCAGGGAGGCCTGCAGTTCATACACCTTTTGCCATTTGTCCACTCATTAGACAGTTTTCTTTCTTCTCCACTAAACATTTATGCATAGCAGTACAAGGCAGTAAACTTCTAATGCTGCTGCTGCTAGACAGTAGAGCATTCAGTTGCATTTCAACAAAATGGAGAAAAAAATAAACCAAATTCCTTAAAAATCAGTGCTGCTGAGCAAAGCACAAGGTGAACAAACTTCTAAGTGTTTAGAGCAGTCTGTCTGCTGGGGCCTGTCCACTGAATGGTGTGGGGTCCCCTGTATGGGTCAGCAATGCTCATGATTCAATCTAAGAATAGCCACAGTCTCTCCAAAACATATGTTCAATCACACTTTTCCAAAAGGAAGAGTCACCTCAAATCTCCCTATTTCTTTGGAGACAGTGCTTGCCTTGCTGCTCCCACATTTCTCTGCAGAGAGGCTCTTCGTTCATTTCAGACAGCACTGAGATAACCAGGGTTGCCCCAAGATCACAAGAGATGCTGAAGGACAGTGACTCAGTTCCTCAAGTTCCCTGCCAATGACTCTCACATCTCTATCAGCTATCTCTGTGTCTTGGTCTTGAGGTGGCACTTTGCAAACTCCTTTGCTTGGCCAGGCATTAAGGATGTTCTTCAGTTATCTGTGGTCAGTCCAATAAACAGAAGCTTCAGGAAGAGCCTCCTAGACACGACCAAGGTGGAAAAAGTATTCTGTAACTACCACTGGGGTTCATGAATTTGCACAGATTGCTTTGATCTTTGGTAGGATTGGAGCCTCCCTGCTTGGATTATTAGACACAAAGGCGGCTGCAATCAAAAAACAATCCTCTCTGCTTCCTTTGGATGAAGGCTGGCTTTCAGACTCCCTGAACTCTGCCCCCCAGCCTGTTGCTGAAGACCCTGACACAAGCAGTGAGGGTAAATCAGCATTGTTGGCTTAGCCAAGACGTCTCTGACTGCACTCAGCACATAAGCAATTAAATGGGTTCTTTTGCCTTGCGTGCCTGTACATGCTGTAAACGCTTCAACCTCAATTGACTCTTTGGTAAATGATTTTCCTTTGTTGAAATGATGCTGATGCAGCTCCCGATTCAAATTCTTAGTTAAAATGCAATTTTTTCCTAACATTTCCCAGCTATAGTTGGTAATTGACTCCTAATGGACTCTGTCATGGTTGAAATGATGCTAGTGCAACAACAGAAACTGCTTCTCTGCCCACCATGGCGCTCCTATCCACTATATGCCTGCAGACAGGCACCGACCAGCATTTAGGGCTGGACTCCCTCACCTTGGCATCCTCAGCATCTTTCCAGCCCCAATCTCCATTACCACCCTTTCTTCATTACTACCACCAACAAGCTGCTTTCTTCAGAAGGGCCAGAACACCAGCCATGGTTGAGCTTTACCATATCGACCCTTAAGGGAATTCAATGCACAAGGTGCCCAGTGTCATTACATTAATTACACTTAGGGGCAGGGGGCAACCAAAACAATGCTTTGGGGAAGTGGTGTCCATTAGGCACCCTTCATCAAACAATAACTGTCTAGTATTCTCTGCTTCCCTCCCTGCTATGCACAGACCCTTTTGGAGGACAATGACACAAGTGCTCTCTGTTTACAATATGGAGGGACAGGAATTCCCATGGAACCATTGGAAATACAGAGATTTTTTAACAGCCTGTTTCTACTGAAGGGCTGAATTTGTTCAGTCCATACTGTCCTCTTTCCAGAAAAGGAAACTGAGGTAACATCAACTGTGAATTAAAACCTATATTCTGGGCTCCTTAGACTTTAGCTCAGCTCAAGGAGAAATAAGAAGCAACGACTACCAGAATACAAGAGTCCCAAAGCAGGCCTGCTCTGATCAAAGCTGAGGATCAGGAGAGAGGCATGTACTGAGCTTGGGAAACACTGCTGAGACCCAGAAGTGGGAAAGGAAAGGGAAACATGGACTAGAAAAAGAATGCAGGTGAAAGACAATGGGTTGATGGGACAACCCTGCATAGCAGTACCAGAATACACTTGGGAGAAGCAGGGAGACAGGTATTTCTCCCTGCCATGACGCATGAATGGCTGGCAATATTTCATCCCATTTTTCAGAGAGGGAAGGGGAAACAGGATTTAAACCAGCATTTTTCAAATGGGAGAGAGACAAAGTACACACCAGAGGACTCTGACAATGGCTGCCTTAGACCAATCTGCCTTCAAAAGACATAACAAGAAAAGCATCTGCCAGAAGGCAGCCAGCAGCTACTCCCCCTAAAAGAGCAGAGGGCTCGATCCCAATAGGGCTGCTGAAGGAAAACGTTGCCCAGCCAAAACATAAGCAGGGAAAAGGGGAAAAGAGGAAAAAAAAAGAAGAAAAAAAAATAAAAAGAAAAATAAAAAAGGAGAAATGTTTACAGGCTTTTCTGTCTCCTTCTTCTGTGGCAGCTTCTTCTTGGGAGCCTTGCGCTCGGCGCGCCTCTGCTCAGTAGTGGTGTCAGCAGCTGTGATGAGCTTCTGGAGGTCTTGAGTTCTCTTCTCCCTCTCTTTCTTCCGGGTTTCGATTTTGCGGAGCTCCTGGATGAGGTATTCTTCTTCTGCCACCTGCAGACCAGAGCACGTAAAGGCAATCAGAGCAGCAGAGGAGGCCCAGCAAGGTAAGGGGGCCATCTACCGATAACAGCTCGGCCCTGGGCCAGCTTAGGAATTACCAAATTCCCCTGCCTAATGTCTTGGATTTGCAGAGCACATCATGCTCCATAGCCTTCCCCTGCATCCATGGTAATGTCATGCTACAAACTGGCAGGTACTGTATCACAACATCCAGGATGTACACTTCAGCAGCATCCATAAATGATTAATCTCATCTCCAGACAAAGAGACCAAGAGCACAGATAAAAGGGTAAAAACTCTCAAATACACTGCAGTTGCAAATGGAGTGTTGTAAAAAGCTGGCTCCCCTTCCCAGACCTAGCACGTAGAACCCAGAGCAGGTATGCCTAATATCAGCACACCCGTCAACATGGGAAGGACAAGCAGAGTTGTCACACATACGAAGTTCTCATTAAGACAGACCTGCTAACAGAAAGAGATGCTCTCCCCCAGTCTTTGAGGAGCACACAGTTCCTTAACCTCTAATGGGACCATTACATGGCTTCAACAAACAGGAGAACTAAACACATAGATTCACAATCTCTGATGCTTTCTGGTAAGATTTTTACTCTCAATGGAAGTAATCCTCCTCTCATGGGACTCAGGGATTCGTAAGGACATTGATCTGCAAGCTTACTCTATTCAGAAAACTAATACAGTGCTGCAGAGGTGGTGGTGGCAGTTACCAGAGACCATAACCCTCATCCCCACCTAACCCTCTCCCCTGTATAGTCAGATTTCTCAGTTATTGTCTTTTTGCATCCCATAAAATTATGCAAACCCAACAACAAAGTTGCTCCTTTCTTGTCCATTCTTTCCCTTTCCCACACTATTTCATCTACCTACTGATTCAACTTAACATAAATTTTCTTGAGCAGTGATGCTCTCCTTCCCAAGTTACCTGCTCTGGTGTCCTATTGTACAGCCTTTCCAGTTGTTCTTTCCTTCGCCTCTCATGGCCAGCATCAAAGACTGGGATTTTCAGGTCTGTGCCTGGGGCCGCACGGATATTAGTCAGCTTGGCACAGATGTGATAGTATCGTTCCTTCAGGTCCTCCACTGATCTTTTCTGTGGAAGACATCACAGGAGGACAATATTATGAAAGAACCAAGCAAAACCTTGTGCAGTAGCCAGCTGAGGACCCCTGGCTGAAGGACATCAGGTAAAGATAGTGCCTAGAAGGAAGACCAGGAGGGAGCCTGGCCTGTCCCAGTGGAACAACCACATGGAAGGGGGAGTTTCTCAGGCCTCTGAACTGCTCCAGACAATGGCCATTCAAGCCATAACCAACAAGGTAACAGCTGCCACATCTCTTTGCCCATTGATACATGGAATCTAAGCTGTGTTCCCTCACTCCAAGCACCCAAGATGTTTGGGTTGCTCAGCTGGGCAAACTCTTGTTATTTGACTTTTTTACAGCTCCCCACATGAGCATTTCAGAGGGCACCAAAAAGTTCCAGCATTTGGAGCTGTTCCGTAGGAGTCACATCATCCCCTCCTGTCACCAGGAGACATGGAACCAGCAACTGCAGGAGATTTATGACCACGAAACCAGTGCTGCAACTTCAGACCACTGATGGTCCCTGCTTCACAGGAGAGATGACAGAAACATGCACCAGGCCAGGAGCAGCAGCAAAGAAATATCACAATCCCTTGGGACCACTAGCAGATCCTTCTCCCAGGACCTAGCCTCTCCCAGGACCTAGCCTGTAATCTAGGACACCTATCCTGCTCAGCTAAACAATCTCCGGAGCTGCCTCACCTTCGAGGAACAATGAGTTATTCTCCTGGCAGGGCAAACCTTCTAACTTTCTAATAAAATACAACAGGGGATGAGCACAAGTCACAGTGGATTTAATTACAAACAAAGCAAGCAGCAATGCCCTGTGCTGGAAATTCAATATTCCCTGCTGCCAATAATTCATTATTTCTCCCTAATTAAGTTGATATAAAGGGTAATTTGGTCTTTGCAGTGCAGCAAGCCCTGCACGTGCCATCGCAGCAGGTTGCTAGCAGCACCTTGGCCCCTGGGACTCACCTTGAACTGCTGGTGATCGTAGCGGTCATGAATCACCACGAAGCGCAGATCGAAACGCCGAGCCAGGTCAAAGAGGTGATCTGTCTCAGCTTTGGTCCACGCATCATCATGGAGATACATCTGGTATTCCTGCTCCGAGTAGACAGGTACCTGCACTGCCTATGCAGAGAAAAGAAAAACATGGCAGCTCTCTTGCAGCTCTTCTCACTGCCAGTTGGTAAGGGCCGAGATACTTGAGCCAAGAACAAGAGGACGGCATTGACAGGAGAGGGCTGCCAGGACTCGAGCAATGGGTCCTGGTAGGAAACATGACAAGCAGGCAGAGGACTTGATAAGGAGCAATGTGTGATCTCAGGGCCACAAACAATGTTCTGGGAAGCCTATCTGGAACTACTGCCTGGGAGGCTGAAACCTATTTCAGGTGGCTGACACAGGCAGAGGTCAGCAACCCACATCCTGACTATAGGTTTCAAACTTATCAGGCTAACATGACAGTGAACCAAAGGTTCAGCCGGCCTCTCTGCATTCCTCCCATATAGCAGCACCAACACCTTAACATAAACTGCTTTGACAGCCAACTCTACTTGGTCTGGGACATGCTTACTTATACAGGAAGAACAGGAAAGGCAAGGAGCAGTAGTTCCTAGCCTTTGGAACACCTTCTGCTTTGATACACAACCCATTTCTTTCATGTTTGGTGCAGACAGCGCCATGAAGATCTGAAAGGCTGGGTACTGTACAACCGAGGGCCATAAACTTGGCAAACAACTTTGTCTCTCCTTTCCTCATCCACCCTTTCTCCAGTAGAGCCACAGGGCCAAAAGACAGTTCAGCTCTCACGAATGTCCCAAGTGTCTAAAGGGCCAAACCAATACCACTGTCCCAATCCTGGAATTGCTTTGCAAGGACCCTATCCAGAACACAGGAGTCACAAGTACTAAAGCCACAATAAAAATACTGTATATGGGGAAGTCCTAGCACATGGTAAAGCAAAAGTACCACCAAGCCTGTGCTTTCCTCCCTTTCACCCTCCTACCACTCCTGCAGAGGAACTCTGCTCAGCTTGAGGAGGTCCTACTTCCACCAGAAAACACTGTGAGCATGTGAGCAGCATACATGTCAACAACACTATGCCCCCTGAGTCCTACACCAGAAAAGTCTTCCTCATGAACTCCATACAGCTTGGAGAATTTCTGAGCCTCCAATAACAACCTCTTTAGGTCTCCTGCCTTTCTTCCATCACTTAGACACAGAAGCTTAGATGTGAAGCATATCTCTTGGGGAGGCACTGCACCTCAAGCTTCCAGTACCACTTCCACCAGGAGAAAAGCCCCCACTAGACACCATAAGGACGTCCTATGTACATCATGAAAAACAGAATTATTTTCTAGAGTAGCATACACACATGAAAAGAGCTATCAGGGCCTTCTGCAGTGGATGTAAGGGAAGGTGGCAGGTGACTCATCAGAGGAGAGAATGGGACAAGAGCAGACAGACACTTCTAAAACACTTCCTCAGCCCCAGTCATGAGAACTGAGAACGTAGGAAATCATCGGATGGAAAGTTTGAGCCAAACATGAGACGACTGCAAGTTCAAATGCAATGTAGCCATGAAAATGCAAGTATGACCCCCAGAAAGGGATTTCCAGCAGAAGCTGGCAAGGTTTCACTTGCACAAGACCTTGGTAGGAATGCCAACCACAACTCTACCGACCCCTTTTTGGAAAAGATGAACTGAAATGGGAAAAAGTATCCATTTCAGGGCAACCAGGATGAGTAATGGGGTGGGGAGCTTGTCTTCCAACAGCAGACTGGAAGAGAAAGGAGCCTGGCAAAAGAAGCCTGAAAGGGAATCTGACTGCAGGCTTCAAGTATGCTAGAGGGAATGAAAGGAATACCCACAGGAAGAAAAGAACAACTGGAACAAGGACAAAGAAATTGGTTTGCAAGGAAATGCCAATTTAACATGGAAAATTTAACCTAGAAATAAGAAACGGAGCAGAGACAGTCTGGAACAGGTTCCCAAGGAAGCACAGGGGCAAGAAAATCCAAGTGCTTTTCAAAAGTAACTTGATCGGTTTATGAAAGGGAATTGATGGTGCCGGACCTGAAAGAGCCAAGAGGAAGATTCAATGGCTCAGAAAACCCTTCTCAGTCCTACATTTCACACTATAAACTCAAACAATGATGGGCATTAAATTAGCTGAAACTGCTCAGGAAAAATCCTGGAGCCATGAGACAGTTCTGAGAAAGCATTAGCACAATGCCTTGCAGTGCTGAAAAGACAAACTGAATAGTAAAAATGATCAGGGAAACAAAGAGAAACACAGCCAATGTACAAACCCGCTATGCTGCCCTAAGTGAAACACTCACTCCTAGTCCACCCGTTTCAAAAGAAAGGGTATTTGAGAACAGGGTGAGACAGGGCACAGAAGGGCAGATGTATGTCACATTACAGAGAAAACAGTGCACAGCAAGGACAATTTATTATGTCATGTAACATAAGATCTCAAAGGCACCAAATGAAACCTCACGGCAGCAGTTTAAAATGAACAGAAGCAATACCTCTGCACACCATGCAAAGTTAACCTGAAGAATTCGTTACCAGGGGGTATTCACAGAGCAGCTTTCTGCCCAGAACCTAGCAAGAATTATTGAACACAAATTCCAAGGTAAGAAATCCTTAAACTAATGACCACCAGAAGCTAGGAAAAAATGCTCTGTATTTTCCCCATTCTCATCCTCTTTCTTTAAGTCTTTACTAATGGTAGCTAGAAACAGACTATCAGCTGAGACAGGCCTTTGCTCTGGCACCAATGAAGCTGCTTTTATATTCCTATTTCACACCCTGGATCAAGGCTTAGTGTACACTGTGAAACCTAAGTTTACATTTTGGATCTCACAATGAACAGGAGGGATTTTGTTTGGAGACTGGAAGCACAGAGAGAAGGCAAAGGAACTGAGCCTGAGGGACCAGTAGGACAGACTACACGGGAAAACGGCTTATGCCAAGGGGAGTAGGAAATTTGGGCAGAAGTATCAAGTATGTGAGAAGGAACCCACAGAAGAGTTTAGAAAAGTAAATAAAATTCTTCTGACATAGCAAATATCTGCAAAACTTCTCATCAGTGCCTTCTACCCTCTTAACCACAGATCCACACGGGTAACAACTTGCTCCTAATATTATGCGATCGGGCATGTGCAGATGGCAGAGGTCTGTACCACTAATCTAAAGGTTGCAGCCTTGCTGAAGGCTATTCTGTCTGTCAATTCACAGTACATGATAAAGTTAAGGAAACAAGAATCATGTAATTACAACCCATGTGTGGCTCCCTCTGATAAACTCAGTTGAACTCAGCCAAAAGCAGTTACAGCAGTAGAGTCTTAGAGACAATTACACCCCCAAAGTTTCCCTCAGAAAGCCAGGCAGGTGCCTTGACTGAGTCATGCTTCAGACTTCTACCACAGACACCCTAGAGAAGAGATATGACACAAGGCTCTTACCAACATCCCAGCAAGAGGAAAAGCATTGGTCAGAGCTTAAGCCTTCTAACACACAAGGTTAATCAACCACTTAACTCTGCAGGAAGCCAGGCTTTGACAGAACTGATGCTCTGTGGGTTACAAACTTTAAACGTTGCATATGCAAGCAGAGCTTTTGTGGAAATCATGTTAGCACACACTTTTTTTTCCCCCCTTCAGATCTGCATCATGAAGGGAATTAAATTATGTTAGGAAGGCACCCTAACTCTACTCCTTCCTAACTTTGGAGGCCCTGACTTTGAAATACAAATCTTGATATAGTTTTCTTTGTGCATACACATGAAAGCCCCAGCCACTCAAAGCAGATACATCTGGGACAAAAGACAGCAGGAGATTACAACAACACATTGTGACAATTTAATGTAAGACGCAAAGAACAAGGTACTGCACCACACTGATACCACAGGAGCAATTTCAGAGGGAACACAACATAATTCAGTATCTGTGCTGGAATCTGGCCAAGAGGCTGCAAGCCAGCTTTTCTGCCACAAAGCTCTAGCGATTTTTTTCACACTGGGCAAAATAACAAGACTTATGACTTTAATGTCTGTCTCAGAATAGAGTATCTTTTACCACCCGGAGCCTGTAATCAGGGGAAGGACGTCAGTTAGGAACCGAATGAGATGGCAGAGTGCCTCCTTACCAAATCAATAACAAGATTTGGTAAGGAGCACCTGAAACACAGGAGACTCTAGCAAGCTCTGACCACATACTGATCCCACACAGCTTGAATGATTTGGAGACATCATAGTCTGTGGTCACGTGGCTGTAAGACCATTCTGCAATTTAAAATGCAATTGCCAAAGGTAACTCAGCTTCCACTTGTTGACAGGACCAACTTCCTGTCTGGATGCTCAAAAAGCTGACAAAAGGGTATTTTCCAGCTGCTATTTATATGCTTTTGCTCGAAAGTGCCTGCACTTACTTTATTGAATCTGGCAAAAGGGTAGTCCTTTCCTTCCTCTGCTGCTCTCCTCCAGTGGTAGAACATTGCTCCATCTTTTCTTGCTGGGTTGGTGAAAGGCATCCACTTCCAAGGCCGGACTTTCTTGGATCCCAGTTTTGCTTTGACTGTTCGATAACCCTGAGTTGTATCACTTGGCAGCAGTGGAGGTGCATCCCTGTGGTGGAGAAAATCACTGGGTGGCAAAAGCAAGCAGCAGCCCATGACAAACCCAAAGAGATTTCAGACTCAGTGGGATCTGCCACCAAAATGTTTAGGGTGGGAAAACCTGAGTTTAAGCTTTATTCAGGTTCTGCACCTCCCAGACTGCAATACTTCCAGCATCAGAGGACAGAATACACTGCCTGGATGGATTTGGACAGAGCCATCAAACTATGCAAGAGACCTCTAAGTCAAGGGTTCAATCACACAAGCTAAATACAGGCTGCAGTGGAACTCTTTCTGCAGAAATAAAAGTAGGTGCTATTCTCAGTTGCAAATAAAAGAGAATTAGACATAGAAGGGTAAGAATACTGCCTTGTCTGCTCTAAACTATTGTGCCTTCACCCAAGTCATCTCCTAGACAGAGCAAACCCCTCAGACTTAAGAAGAGAGAAGATAAGCACTGTTCATGACTAAGACAAGCATGGGCCAAGCACAAAGGTGAATCAATGTGTGAAGCAAGACTGCTTATGGTTTCAACTGGATGCTGCCCTGCTTCCAAAAGCCCAGGCTACACCACAACCTACCCAGATGACCGTAAGCTCTTACTTTTTGTCAGAGTAGAGGAGAGCATAAACTTCTCTGTGCATTCCTTCCGGCCTCTTAAACGTCAATGTTTCTGAAGATTTCTTGGATTTTTTCTGAAACAAAAGAATTGAATTTTAGATTCAGAAGCAGCAATCCCTGAAGGAACATTAAACTACATAACCTGGTACCCTGCGATGGTTTTCATTTTTATGTGGTTTTAGACACCTTAAATTTCTTTCTGGTGGAAGACACTGACAGTGAAAACGTGCCCATTTTCAGTGACAGCACTCACCACTACTCACTCACTTATTACTGACAACACATGCTTAAATTCCAAGTTGAACACCTGGCTGTAGTTTTCAGGGGCTGGTACACTGAGGTTTTTTTTACTAGGTAAGCACTATCCTTACATGAAGGTATTAATGCATCGTCACGGTTTAACCCCAGCTGGAAAATAAGTACCACGCAGCCGCTTACTCACTCCCACACACACAGTGGGATGGGGAGAAAAATCAAGAAAAAAAGTAAAACCCGTGGGTAGAAGTAAGAACAGTTTAATAATCAAAGTATAATAGAATACTAGTGACAATAATGAAAAGGGAAATATGAGAAAGAGAGAGAGAGTAAAAAAAAATAAAGCCAAAACCAAACAGTGATGCACAATATGATTTCTCACCACCTGCTGACTGATGTCCAGCCCACTCACAAGCAGTGAACAGCCCCTCCTGGCCAACTGCCCCCAGTTCCTGTACTGAGCATGATGTTCTAGAGTATGGAATACCCCTCTGGCTAGTTTGGGTCAGGTGTCCTGTCTCTGCTCCCTCCCAGCTCCTTGTGCACCTCCTCAGTGGGGAGCACAAGAAACTGAAAAGTCCTTAACTTAGGGTAAGCATTAAATAGTAACTAAAACATTTGTGTATTATCAACATTATTCTCAGACTAAAGCCAAAACACAGCTACTAGGAAGAAATGCATTTAACTAAATGATTTTCTACCTTTTACAGAAGAGAATAAGAAATGTCTTCCCACCTTCTTTTAGTTTTTTGATCACTTTGTTCTGCAGCAACTTCAGTTTTACCAGTTGAGACCAAACCCTTGCTGTAGCCCCATATCAAAATTATCAGTATCACCTACAAAAGTAAACCCTCATCCTCACCTCTTCACTCCCATTTACACAGCAAAGAACTATATTCATTTTTATATAATTTCTAGTATGAAGAAACTCAGTGGAGAAAACTCAATCTGGCCCCTAAAACCTTGTCAGAACTAATGGTTTCTAAGACATAATCCACCTGATATCACATATACAAGTTTACACAGTAATTGGGTTTAGATTCAGGTAGATACAGTAGCAGTCACGTTAACAACATACCCTTGATACACATGGATGAACTTACTGAGTAGTCCAGAGCATTTGGTCTAACTGTACCATCTTTGTAACTACTAGCTACATCACTACTTTAAAGTACCTGTTTATCACATCACTACCAACTTTTAAATCAGAATACTTTGTAAAACCAACACTCTATCATAGATTGTATTAAATTCATACATTCACCTTTATCAGGCAAATTCAAAATCCCAATAAAAAATAATAACCTATCAACTTGGACTACAACCCTTTCCATAAAACATCATGACAGACATTTACTGTATTGGCACCTTTTCACTCCTAATCAAACACCTTTCTCCCTGCATGTCCATCACTGCCCAGGAGCGATGTAAGGCCAACAGAGGCAGTTACACATGGGTCACCACACACCCTGTTTGAACACAGGCTTCTGGAATTCGCCCAAAGTTCCCAGATTTATTAGAAGTTAATATCAGCAGGCCAGAGATCAGCTCAGACAGCTCTTTTAGGAGTTGAGAACAAATGACTTGGTCCTGCTGATTTAAATGTTTTTATGCCCAGTAATTTTTATTTTAACATTCTCAGTCACTAATGGACTAGGAAGTACTTCATGGTTCTCTTGTGATTTAAAGACATCAATCTGTTTCTTTTCTAATTGAGTACAGATCTATTTCCTGAGCAAGTGCTGCACTGTTACTAGCAATTTTGCTCTCTCCACGCAATAATAGCTTATACCTTTGGTTTGATTTACTTTCTGTGCTAAAATTCCAAATGTTTCACCCACAGCTGCAAGCAGCCTCCTGCACTCCTCCAGGAACCTCTCACTGCACCACTCCTTCCTCTCTCTTTCCATTACAGTAAATCTGGGGATAAGTCCCTCTTACTCTCTGCTCCAAAAGAGAGATAGACAGCCATCAGTACTCCTCCAGCAATCTGCTAGCTAACAGAAAACCACATCTAAATCAAAGAACTTACAACTCTGAAAGCTCAGTGGCACATCAAAGGTTGAATGCAGCCACACACTGGATGCACTATTCACCAACTCAGCTGGTAACTGGCGATTTTAACATTTCAGCCTCTAAATTACTGAAACTCATCAGTTTTCCATTACAGCAATTATACTGTGTCCTAGCCCCAGGAAGGAACTCATGAAATCATTGTGCTTCTCTTCAGAGACAAACATTTCAGCAGAGACAAAGACAGTCAAGAAGTACTTTCAGGGATGGAGTGGCTGCACATGTTTAGTTTTGGTTTGGATTTTTTCACACACAAATACAAATCACACCACCTCTGTACCAGAGTTCCTGGGGATTTCATCTCCCCCAACTTGTTTCCAAGCCCCTCCATATCTCATAACTACTCATTAGTTGAGACTTTGCAAGCCAGGACTTTGCCCAAATTTAAAATACAGAAGGCAACAACATAACGTGGCATATTGCCACACAGAACACAGCATATGAAGTCATATATCCTTAACAGAGCTTACTAACTTGCACCCATTCCCACAGGTAACAGGTCCCAGTTCTTCCAAACCCCAGCCACACACCTTCCCTGCAGAAGAACTGTTCCCATAGTTTGAAGACATTTACCATTCAATCAAGTCAGACAAGTTTTCTTCCTTCTAAAACAGGACTCTGTTATATTATTCCATCTTCTTGTGGGCTAAATAGTAAACACACTTCTCACTCCACAAAACAGGGATTTTCAAGACAGCTGAAAATGTCCTCAGGCCAGGCCCAGCTCACCAGGACACCACTGACAGCTCCACCTTAAATACTGCCTCAAATGCCACAGTGCAGTTTAACTAAGAACACCAGGAATTGGGCACTCCAGGCATTTCCAGATATTTCTAGGAAGCCTCAATTAAATAGGCTATGGTAGGAACATGCTTTCTTCCAACTTTTTCCCCAGTATCTGCCCCAGACACCCCATGCAGTCAGTCAGTGCCAAGAAAACAAGCAGCAGTCCCTTAGGGCCTCGCAGTTCACCTTATCCGAGTTGATGATATCCTTCTTGTTGATGGTGCCTGTGTTCTCCGACTCCACACCACCCAGCTCCAGGATGTCCCGCACGTCTGCGCCCGTCGCCATCTCTCCTGCTGCTCACTGGCCTTCTCTGCTGCCGTCCTGTCCGTTCCCTCCGGCTCTGGGGAGGGTAAACCAGGGTACCAAGGTTAACATGCGCCTCTCATGAGGACTGTCCCGTACACGCACAAACATGCTTATGTGCATACATATAACACACAGCATACACAGAAGTATATATATGCATATACATACATATATATAACATGTTGCCCAGAGAAGCTGTGGATGCCCCATCCCTGGCAGCGTTCAAGGCCAGGCTGGACAGGGCTTGGAGCAACCCAGTCTAGTGGAAAGCATCCCTGCCCATGGCAGGGTGTTGTAAACTAGATAATCTTTATAAAAGGTCCCTTCCAACCCAAACTATTCTATGATTCTACGATCGTATAAGTTGGAAAAGACGTTTAAAACCATCAAGTCTAACCGTTATCCCAGCACTGCCAAGTCCACCACTAACCTATGTCACTAAGGGCCTCATCTACACGGTTTTTGAACGTTTTCAAGGATAGTGATTCCATCACTTTCCTAGGAATCCTGATATATACACATATATATACATACACACACACATATATACACATATATACACATACACACACATATACACGTATACGCACGCATATATGTACATACACACACACACGTATATCCACATACACACACTCCCCCCTCAACCGCCTCCCCATCCCCCGCCAGGCCCAACAACGGGGCCTTCTACCCGGCCGGTCCCGGGGACCAGACGCGCCGCGCCCGCAGCCCGGAGAGCAGCGGCGAGGTCCCGGGAAGCCCACAGACGGACGTACGGGACGAGGCTGGGCCGCAGGGCCGCCACAACCACGAGCAAACCCGCTCCCGCGCTCACCCACCGGCGCCGGATCCGCAGCCACCGGGACGGTGCGACCGGCACAGCGGCCCGGACAGCGCCGCTTCCGCTCCCGCCAAGCGGTACCGGAAGTGCCCGGAGCCCTTTCGGCGCCCCACCGTAGAGCTGGAGAAACAGGGTGCGAGGGGGCAAGGGTTGCGGGTTCGCGCCCCGCTCCCGGCAGATCGCGGCCGCCCCGGGCCCGAAGCCGCCTCTCCCGCTGCCCGGCGGCAGCCCCGGGACCGGCTCGGGGCCGATCTACGTCGTTCCGTGCTCGGGGCGGGAAGGTCGGCGCAGGCGGGACTCGCTCCCGCGCCAGGAGGTGGCAGCACAGCCGTGGCGGCCCGGCCCTGACAGGTGTCGGAGCTGGGGCCGGGGCCAGGGCCGCTCCCCACCTTAGCCCGACCCTTAGGTGGGAGCTGAGGCCTGCGGGACGTGCGGGGCCTCCGGGGAGCTGTCCCCAGCTGCCGTAGGGGACAAGCCAGCGGTGCCTGCTTCCCCGGTGCCGTGGTGACGGGTGACTGGGCTCTGCTTTGGGCAGGCACACGGGGGCTGTGGGGCAGGGCAGGGGCAAGAAAACCATGCCGAAGGGCTCCAGAGCTGCAGCACTTACCTGAGGCTGTGACAGCTAGGAGCAAAAGTTTTATTAATACGATTCAATAGGACTATCATGTTTCCTCTTCCCTATGGGAGGAAGAGAGGGGGGAATGGGGAAGGAACAGCAGAGTGAGGCCAGGAGGGACTTGAAGAAATCCCATTGCACTGCAGCAGGCACAAGATTGCCTGCAGAGGTTTGTCCAAAGCAGAAGATTTCAGCCTGGGGCACAGAGATCTACTGCCAGCCCCCTCGGGTAGCCCAGGAGAGGGGTGGCCCTGGGGGAACCTCTCCTGTGCAGTAGCCCACGGATGAGATGAACTGCACTGTGCTGGGATGATTCCAGCACACAGCCCCCCAAAGCCAGCCAGGCTGTGCTGGAGTTGTTGCCATTCCCACCCCACTGGTGATCCCTTCCCACAGGGACTGTCACATCCATCACATCTGTACCAGGGCCAAGCCAGTGCCATTGTGCCCCAACAGGAACACTAGAGTGTCATTGGGAGTCATCTAACTCCTTTTCTGTCCCACGCTGCCAGGGGTGGATTTAAGAATCGTGATCCTTCCTCCCACTAGGGCAAAGCTTACCCGGGGTTTCTCCTGTCCTGTCCATTTGCTCTCAGCTCTGCCATGTCCACCCAGGCCCTACCCCCATCAGTACGTGGCCATTCTTAATTGTTCCCAACATCTTTCTTCCCTCTCTTTAGATTGTTGGCTTGGAGTTGGAGTCCCTACAGAGTGATCCCCTACAAGGTGGGTCTGCAGAGAGAAGCAGGATAGGGCCTTCCGAGGCTGCCTCCCTTCACCTTTGCAGTCTCAGCCCTACCTGGAACACCCAGCACTGCTGCTGCAGGGAGAGCTTTGTAAGACCAGGGAACAAGGACCTCCCATTTGCCCCTCGCTGGCAGGTCGTTCGCAGTCCATTCATGTCTATAAACAGCACAGGAAACACAATGAGTCCCAGAATAAACCCCAGAGATGAGTGGTCATTCAGTGTCCTTTGGGGTTTGATTGTATCTCCCACTTCTAGGCCTGACCTGCTGAAGCCCAGCTTCAACCCCAGTCCCAGCAAGACTCAGCCCATGCTCTGCAGGGTGATCAGCTCACTCATGTTCAGCAAATGAAGTCCACAGCACGTCTGAGCTCCTTTCCACAGGATAGCAGCTTTTTAACCCCATGAAAGGTGGAGATGGTGGGCAGCTGGGTAGTGTTATCCACAGCCCACCTACCCCACAGCTCTGTGAGCATGGGTGTCACTTCAGGGCTGTGTCCTGCCAGGAGCTGTGTGGACCTGCAAGTGAAACACATGAGCTGGGTGCTTCTGCTAACCTGATCAGCAGTGGAGCAATTAACACTGCCTTCAAAGGGACACAGAGATGTTGTTTCTGGGCAGAAGTGGCTGTTTGCACAGCCTTCAAGGAGTGAAGGGGCACAGCTGGAGACTCTGGTCGGGGACACATGCCAGGGCCTGTACTTCCCTAAGCACTGGGGTCCTGCCTTGAGAGAACACAGGGAGAACCCAGGGAATGCAGCAGGTCAGGGAAAGCCAGCAATGCTGGGAAGCCCAGTCCTTTGCATCCCAGGTAAGAGGACAGCAACAGCCAGCATTGTTGTCCTGCAACCCCTCACCCACCTCCTTCCATCCTGCAAGCATAGGGTGCCAAAGCTGGGTGATCCCACTGCTGCTCAGCATCTCAGGAAGGGATGTCACTCCGCATTCAGCCATGGCAGGACAGCAGCGCTGGCCCCTTCCACCCCAGGGAAGGATGCACCTCCTGCCCTTTGCCCATGTCACAGCTGCCAGACATAGCCAAAGGTGGCCCCAGGCCAGAGGTGTGCGTGCCTCCAGCCCAGGGCTCAAGGCGTGAGTGTCTCCCAGCCTGGCACCAGCGGAGGAGGACAAGTGCAAACACTGTGGCCAGTGGGGTGGGAGGAGGTTATCTGGGGCCCAGCAGTGGAAAAACGCTCGGTGTGTGACTAAGGCACAATAGCAGCAGGTGTGGGTCCAGGCAGGGCAAGCAAGCCCGGGAGTTATCACTTCCCCGTGGGTTCAGGTGCCTGAAGCCAAATGTTTCCTAAAGGTGCGGTGACAGCCACAGCCCCGTTATCGCGGCGCCTGGCCCACCCCAAGCAGCGGAGGCAGGCTGCTGGACCTTCCCTTCATGGCAGGGATCAGACACTTACCACTGCCCCATTGGGAATGGGGACGCCAGCCCTGGGAGCATCCTTCAGCAGGGATACCTTGGCCGTAGAGAGCCAAGATCTCACCTTGTGTTGTGGTGAGGAAAGGTCTGTGTCCAGCCCTCCAAGCACCCCCAAAGCATCCCTCCCACCCTGGAGCACCCAGGCCGCATCCCACCTTCAGCACCATGTTGTCCCTATGGGCCACAGTAACCCCAGGGTAAAGCCCTGGGCAAGGAACCCTCCCAGACCTAAACCCCTTTTCTCCCCACATCTGCAACCCTGCACCACCACTGTCGGACCTGTTGGCTGTAGCATGGGGGATCCTCACAAGCTGTGCCATACCCAGAGCATAGAAACCCACCCAGGCTACTCCTTCACCCTCCTCCAGCTACGAAACCCCCAGGGGCCCCGCTCCTGCTGGCAGGTGACTGCATAGTGCCAGGCCATGCTGCGGCCGTGACTCACCTCACTGCTGGGAGGTGTTTCTCCATGCCTCACTGTGCCGGTTCGGCTGCACCCCAAAACCATGGGCTTTGCAAGGGGGGTTAGAGACCTCTGCATCACCTACCACCGTGGCTCCCACGGTCAAACAAGGAGGTGACCAAGGGGAGAAAGGGAGATACAGACCGGCAAAGGGCTTTCAGCTGACCATGGGCAAATGTACCACAGGCAGGGATTCCACCCCAGCCTTCCCTTCCTCCATGTTGCTGATGGTGTTTTCTTGCTGTCCTCGTCACTTTGCAGGGCAGGTTTTGCTGAGGACAGGACTGGGCTCTCTCCCCCAGCGGGGAGCACGCCTTGGCCCAGGCAATTGGAAGAGGGTGTTTTTTATTAACAACAAATTAACCATAATTGCCTTTTCCACTACAGCTGCTCCTCCTCCCCCGGGTGAGGTTCCCAGCCATGCCAGTCCATGCGACCGCCATGCTCCATCGTGTGCCCGAAGGAGTGCCCTGCCCCAGGCCTTGGGAAGTGAACACGGAGCAGCTCTGCCTGGAGAAGGAGCCAAGGCACCTTCCCCTGCGCTCACCTCCATGTAAGGTAGCGGCAGCAGAGCCGGACCTCGCTCCCGCCCTGGTGCAGCGATGATGAAAGGCGAGGAAGAACTGGTTTGTGCTCTGATCTCAGAGCTGAACCTCAAAACAGCCGCGGACCGTCAGTCCGGCTCCCAGGATGCTTATGGAGGACAGGACAGCAGAGCCAGCCTTTCCGGTGGGACAGGATGGTTGGAGAAATTCATCGTTCCCCTGGAAATAAAAATAATAATCATAATAAAAACACAAAGCCAGAGATTACTTATACGCACACAAACACGCAGGCACGCACTCTCCCCATCTGGCTTTGCCAGCCTGACTCATCGCTAATTCAAACAGCCCACACCTTTCCCTCTCCCTCCATGTGACATTTTGAACAAGTCTCTGGGGAAGAGGCAGCAGTTTTGCTTCAGCCACCCCCCCACCATCAGACCCTTGCCCTTAGGTACCAGGGGTCCCAGGAGTGAGAAACCCATCACAGCTCACTGGTGTCCCAGCATGGTCACCCTACACAGGCACCTCACAGAAAGTGGGGCACTCAGTGGGTGGAGGCAGCTGTGGAAAGGACAAGTGATTGAGCTTGGTGGATCCATGACACCTGTGTCCCATGGTCCCATGCCCAGGCCTGCAGGGAGGACACAACATCCCAAGCCGCTGCACCCTGCCTAGAGACACTCACACTTTCGTACCTGCTTGGGGCAGACCCCAAGGCTGGATGCTGGCCTGGGGACACTGAACCCAATCCCAAAACACTAGCCACCCCTCAAGGGGACACCAGCCCTACTCTGCTGCTCCCAGTTCAACTCCCCACAGCTACAGGCAGGAATACAGGGAAGGACTGGGATCAGCCCAGCCCGTGCTGGCAGCACAGCTACATCCCATTTCCGCTTGCGGGGCAAGGAGCCCCAGGTCATCCCCTAGCCCTGGCCAGCCACCGGGGGTTGTGGCAGCAAGCACAGGAGGAGGAAGCCACTAACACCCTGGGCCAGGGCACTGCACAGCCCTCACGGCACGCTCCCTGCACTGCCGGCACAGTGTCAGGTCCAGACAAGCCCCTGGCTTCAGAAGGATGCATGCATCACGGGTAATCAGCTGTGGGAGGGAGGGATGGAGCCAGACCTGCTTGCTGAGCTCGGGACCTGCCAGCACGCTTGTGCTGAGTCACCACCTATGAACGCAGGGAAACCTCAGCACCTGAACCCCATCGAGCTACTGGGACACCCCAGGAGGGCAGCAGGAACAGGACCGGGCAGCCACCAACAACCTCCTGGTTGTGACCACAAGGCCTGTGCCACAGAGCT